AAGGTGACTGAAGTATCTGCATTTCCAACCACAAACCTCACACACTTCAGCTCAAGAACAACACAGCTCAGTGCAGTGGAAATCAAAGCAGTGCCTAATCACTGAGAGCTTTTATGCTGATTCCACTTTCTTCTCTCTACTGTACATTAACTGTAGCCATCTCTTCACAAGAGCATTAGAAGGACAAAAAGCAGCAAGAGGAAATTAAACCAAGCAGTGACACAAAACGGACAAATCATTTCAGAAGACACTTGCTCTGCAAGCTGGAGGCAACAGCAGGAGCAAAAGAGGCAGCAGCAGGAGCTTGCTCTGGGCTGCGCTTTGGGAGCGTTTCGAGATGCAGCAGCCACGATGCAGTGAGCCAGACAGCTCCTTCCAAGCAGCTGCTTCCAAGCCAAAGTTTTAAGTTGCAGTGCTCTTTTCAGCTCTGGTGGAGGGGATAAAGGTTTTTCCAGTGTCTTCTAATAGACTTAACAGATGTTGCTCCGAGGCCCTTTCCTAAGCACCATGAAGTACTCTTGCTTTCTGTATGTTTGCTTTCGATCACGCAGTTTAATAACTGAGCTCCATGCTGCTGGAGATGCACACCCAGCATCCTCCCTGCTCACCCCTGCTGCCAGCTTGCAGACTGCTGCCCTTGCCCCTTGAGAAGCTTCATTCTAAGAAATGCAAAATGATACTCTCTGAGAAACTATTTACTTGTTTAAAAAAAGCCTGGATAAAGGGGAAAGGCAAACACTGCCCTACCAGTGCTAACTGCTCTGACAGCAGCTAGCACAGCAGGATCAGTAGCAGCAAGCTCTCTCCCTTCACACAACAGAAGAACTGCCAAGAAGAGAGAATCCTGCTCACAGTGCCCTTTAGAGAAACCCAGAAAAAATCCTACTACCTCAGCACAGCAAAAAGCATCCATTCTGCACAAGGCACATTCAGAGAGGTGAATTAGAAACACAGAAGGCACGGCCACCAGAAGGCTTTTTCTGTTTTTTTTTTTACCTCCCACCACAGCCACCCTTGCCTATGCAAAATGATGTTGCAGGAGCCACGTGCCAATTCCCAAGCATCAGAAAGATCTGTTTCCCAAGCCCATGCCCAAGCTGTACACTATCCATCACCACCTGAAAGGAGATTGTGGTGAGGTGGGGGTCAGCCTCTTCACCCAGGTAACAGTGACAGGATGAGAGGGAATGGCCTCATGTTGTCTCAGACGTGGTTCAGGTTGGATATTAGGAAACATTTCTTCCCAGAAAAACTGATGGGGCACTGGCACAGGCTGCCCAGGGAGGCTGTGGGGTCACTGTCACTGGAGGTGTTCAAAGAACAAGGAGATGTGGTACGGAGGGATGTGGTCAGCGGGCAGAGTGGAGATGGGTTTGTATTTGGACAACATGATCTTAGTGGTCTTTTTCACTTTAATGACTGATTCTATGATCACAGCCAGGAGCAAGGTTCATAATTCCTTCAAAACACAAGTTTGGTATTTGCACACCAGCACACACAAGTGCACACACACATCCCTTTTACTCCACTGCTCTCTCTGAGATGCTTCCTGCACTTCCACTTGTGGGAAGCACGTTCCCAGTGCTGGCATGCTGCATGGCTGCAGAATTGGAAACAAACACCTCTGCTACTCTGACTAGCACACCGGTTAATTCCTTATGATAAACACATTGTCTGAAACAGAAATTCAGTTTAATTGCAAAACCAGCTGCTTCAGCTTAGCCAATCCTCCTGGCACAAGCATCAGGATTTCAGTATGCCTTGCTTCTAGTGAGCATCTCTGAGGCCAAAGCAGCCTTTTGGGACTTGGCCTCCCGCCCTTGAGGTCTCCAGCTGTCCCTGCCAGCCAAACCCAGTGCTTTCTAATCCAGCTGGAGTTGTGAAGGTTTACCATCAGCCAGACACCTTTCTGATGAGGTTAAGATCACAGCCACTGAAATCCTAGCAGACATCATTTTTTTCTCTCAGTTGCATAAAGTGCATTCATTTCCTTACGAAGGTCTAGGCAGAAAAGAAAAGATGGCCTCCTAAAATCGTGTCTGTAGAAGTCATCAACAAAACTGGCAGGTCTCAAAGGACGGTGTGTTAGCTGTACGTAACTATAGCTATGCCTAGGTTGTCGTCCTGCTTTTTTGCCAGACAGATATCAAGTTGACCGTGTTGCTCTATATAGGTAGTTCAGTCATCAGGAAAAATGTTTAAGCGTGCAAGTGAAGAGAAAAGCTGATCGGGTTGTAGAGGGTATCTTTTGCACCGAATGTTGCCAATGTCAGTTTCTACAGAGCTCAACTAACACAAGTTCTTTAAACTCCTTGCTTCTTTCTTTGATTTTAAAGAGAAACACACCTACAGAACAAGCAATGCTGGAACAGCACAAAGAACCATTTGCCATTACTTCTGCACTGGTTATCTGCAAGTCCCTATAAACCCCCTAATTATAAGCAGCATCTTTTACTGTCAGTGGCACATTTTGTGCTGTGCAGCCCAGGAGACATGCAACATCTCTCACATTACAAGTTGGATGCAGCCTCCTGGCTCCTGCCTCCTAATTGCAGCACAGACAGTGCAAGGGAGTGCATCATTCATTGTGCAGCCCATCCTATTATATATCCAGCCATTTGCACTGGACTTCCAGAAAAGAATCGTTTCCAGAAGGTTCAGCTGAAGAACTCACTCTCCCAGCTGCTAAAAGAACCTGGAGCTCCTTCGTGGAGAATGCAGTCCCACCATTTAAGGCTCATGGGATCACTGCCTCTGGAGTGTGACAACAGGCAGACATTTATATGGAAAAGTCAGGCAAAGAAGAAATCAATGGGTTAATTAGCAGATTAGCAAAGTACAACCAACCGTAACGGCTTTTACTCACCAGAAGACTGATAAAGTGGAGATAATTGTTTGCACTCCTTATACTCTCTGGGATGGCAGAGGATTATTGGAACGATGGAAATTTCAGGCATTGATTTAAAACATTTTCTGCTCATTAAAGCTAAACCCCAAGCATTTTGCAAGAGCAAAGCCTCCCAAAACTCATAGCGTGGGATTCCACATGATGCAGTGACGCAGCCAGCATGGGCTACCCCTTGCCAACAGAAAGCAGCTTCGCTCTGAGTTAAGCCTCATGAAGGTACTCAATTTGGGCACTGCAACTGTTTAGATTCTGTGATACAGTGAACAAAGAAACCGATCCCATGTACAACCACTATGGGAAGCACACCAGGAACAAGGGAAAGAGAACATTTCAGGAAAAATAGTCAGTTTTTGTTCCACTTGCTGGAAATTGTTGGCATTTGTTACTGAAGCCGACCAAGGAGTCAGGTTTGAATGAAGGAGCAGCAGCTCCGCAAGAGAGAGATCCCCTTCCCACGAGCATCAGCGCATCTCACACACACACACACACACAGAGCACAAGCTCAATCCTTACAGTCTCGTGTCACTGAGAGCAAGAAAAAATCCCTACAGTAGAATTCTAACTCAACTGCCCACTTGGTTTATCAGCATTCCCATCCCTGTCAAATCAAGGCAATCAATACATCAGAAACTATCGCGCAACTTCAAAAATACAGTAAATGACGCTGCACAAATATTTTTTAATCACAACCATTCCGAATCACAGATCAAGTCGGATTTCTTTGGGTTTTGTTTTTGTGTTTTTTTTCTTCTGCAGTCACAGTCCCCGAGCTGACTGTTGCTCAGGCTACATCAGCCTGAACCAGTGGTCTGTGCCTGTCTCTTGAACCCGGTGCCAGCCCTGCACCCAGCTGTAACAGAGAGCCCCTGCAGCTGGCACAGCTCTCCCCACCCAGCACGGCTCCCCAAGAAGATGAAGCCACGCCAACAAAAAGCGCTTTTTTTTGCCAGGGTAGCTGACAGCAGACTAGCACTGCTGCCAGCATTGCGACATCCATTCGAGAGCAGCAAGCGGTTCGTTTTTTTTTCCTCCACTACACAGTTTCCTACACTTTAAGCCAGACAAAACCATTACACTGTAGGCAAGAAGCGAAGACCAGAAGAAAGCAGGTGTGGTCGAGAGGCAGCGCTGCCGGCTGGCATCTCCCCATCTCGCGTAGGCAAAGATGCGCACAGACTGCCTTTCCGCGAGCCTCACCGCACCAGATGACAGCCGAGGCACGCAGCTACTGTGCGATCCGCTCGCGTGCGGAGAAGGGAAGGGCCCCGGGGTTCAGCACCGGCGGCGATGCGGTCCCCGTGCGTGGGCACACGCAGCATCCTCGGCACCGCGCGATGCCGCGGGACCCACCCAGGGCGGCTGCTGCCCGAACGCCCGCCGGGCTGTGCCGAGAGGCGCCGGGTGCGTTTGTACCCACAGCCACAACAAAACGGCTCCCATTGAGAAAACGCGTCGGGGACGGAACAATTGCCTCCTCCGTTTGTTTTCCCCGCAAAGAAAACTCCGTCTCTCTGCCACATTTACATTTGTGAATGGGACTACAGTACAGCCTTCGGCTCCACCACTCGCCTAGCAATATTCCTGCGGAAATAAAACCGGCGTTTTCTCATACGCACACAAACTACCCAGCCGCCTTCTCCCAAACTGAGCCGAAACTTCCCCGCCCGGCAGTCCGCCCGTGAGCCCCCGCCCGCTGCGGTCGCTGCTCCCTCCGCTTCCCGGAGCGCCCGCAAAGCCGGCGCGGGGCACCGCGCGGACATCGGCCGCTGCCCCCGGCTCCGGGGGGGGAGAGGGCGGGGAGGCAACCGAAGCGGAGTCGTTCAGCAACGGCGTTCCGCCAGGGCCGGTTCGGGAGGCGGCAGTAGGAAGTAAGATTTTAGGGAGCCGACTGACTCGTGCGGCGCGAACTTCGCCAGGTCTAAGATCCCCCTAACGCACGCGGAACGCGCGGATCCCCGCGTCCGTCCTTCCCAGCAGCCGCACGGCGCTCGGCACCGCGCACCGAAAACGCAGCGCCACGGCCGGCGGCGGCCGCGCATCCCCGGCGCTGCCCCCGCCGCCCCCCGTCCCGCCCGCAGCCCGCGCCCCTCACCCGGCTGCGGAGCGGTCCCGCGGCGGCCTCCCGGCAGCTACAACTCCGCGGCGGAGCCCGGGCGAGCCGCACGCCTGCGGAGCGGCGGCGAGCGGGGAGGAAAAGAGGAAATGAGCGGGAGGCGCATTGGAGGGAGGGGGAGGAAGGAGCCGCCGCCGAGGGAGCGAGCGGGAAAGCGAGGCAAGGAGCGCAACTTCCCCGCGGGGCAGCGGCGGCGCCGGGGGGCGGAGCGCGGCAGTACCCCGCAGCCCTGCGCAGCGCCGCGCCCCGCCGGGGCCGCCCGCCCGCCCGCCGCCACTTGGTATCGCCCGGCCGCCGCGGGGCAGGAAGTGCGGGGCGGCGGGGAAAAGTTTATCTCTCTGTTTTTCTATTTTTGTAATTCTCTTTTTTTAATAATTTTTTTAATCTATTTTTTGGTTTTTTTTCCTTTTTTTTTTTTTTTCCTTTTAACCCCAGTGCGAACAAGGAAGCGCTCTGCCGCAGGCCCTACAACGAGTTCTGCCGCCGCAGCCAGCGCTTCCCCCCCTCCCCGTCCCAGTCGTGTCACACGGTGCCGGGCAGGTGGATCCCTACGGGTGCGGTGCCGCTGGCCGGGGACAGCTGCCCTCACGGCGCACCCCGCCACAAAATGGAGGGGATTGAGGGCTCGGTGCTAAGCTGCTTCTCGAGAGAGGTCATGGGAAGCCTTCTTCATAGCTAAGGCCTGCAGAGCGCACGGGGGAATGAATCCTTCCTTCAGGATTTCTGTTTTTCCCTCATCTCCTGCCCAGTACACTTTCGAGTCAGGAACATATGGAGAATTGAACACCGTTCCCGTTGTGCCTTATCGGCAGCTTTCACTCTGCCTTCCCTCGTAGGAGCGCAGGCGAGCATATTCAGTGCGGGCAAGAGATAAGAACCGAGCAGAGCTGCAATCAGGGCCACACCAGGAAAAAAAAAAAAGATATTGAGAGATTTCAGCAACAAACCTTGGGAGGCACAAAAAGCCCACTGCCTCCAAGCTGCAGATTTTCAAAGCTTATCTCTATACCTCGTCTGCAGATTTCTGTGAGGGCAGAAAATTAAAGAAAAAAAAAAAAAACACCTTTCACCTCTATTGCAAAGATGGAATACACTGAAACTATTGATGCAAAGCTGAAAGTGTTACTCAGCAATAACCACTTTCTCCAGCCCCTTTCAGAGTAGTTAAACCATTTTGCCAACTTAAAAAATAATACATACATTAAAAAAAAAGTCAGCCCAAGGCAAAAACAAGCTGGGAAACTGGCAAACCTGCACTGTTAAAACTAGAAGCAACTCGAACAGGAACACAGAATGGAAAACTGTATGCAACCACTGTCACTGCCAACTTCACACGCCTGCAGCCCGCTCCTCCTCGCGGGGGGTGGTTACACATGAGTAATCCCCTCGGTTTCCCTGCACACCCTGGGTGAGTGCTGCCAGGTGCTGGGGCTGTGGCTCACACGAGGCAGGCAGCCTCACTGTCAGCCCTATCCTCACAGCCCTCCTTTGGATGCTCTCATAGCTTTATGTCCCTCTTACACCGTGGCCCTCAGCCTGTGCACAGTGCAGGAGGTGAGGCCACACAGCACAGAGCAGAGCAAGACAACCCCTTCCCTTGCCCAGTGGCAGTTCTGGGCCCGGTGTAGCCTGGGATACAATTGGCCCTTCTGGCTGTCAGGGCACACCTCTGGGGCTCGGGGACTGTGAGCACACTTGGGCTGATCCATGGGGTGCTGAGAATGGAGATGCGTGCTGATAGATGTGGCTCTGAACTCACGTGGCAGAGCGCTAGGATGTTTCAGTCAGGAGCTCTCCATGCTGGGAGACCCAGGGCATTTTGCTGTCAGTAGGTAACTACTTCAAGAAGCACCCGTGGCTGCTCAGTTCAACAAAAGTCATTTCCTCTCTTTGATCCCTCTAGTATTCAGTATATTAACCTGTGATTAACTGCAGAAATACTTGAAATAATTTTCTTTCAGATGTTATTGGGGAACACATAGCAAGAACCAAATGAGGCATTACTCTTTTATACTCAACTTCTTTTTTTCAATGATTGCAGCCTTCCAGCTGTCACCAGAAACAAGATGTTAGTCAAACAGTCATCACCAAGACTTTGGAGGATGTTAAGCACTAATTCCTGATAAGGAGCAATATCTGACTGACAACAGTCTCCTGGGAAACACCAGGGAAGGAAGGACAGCCTCCCAGAGCTGCTGGCTGCACACAGCTCCCTGTGTGATGAGGAGAAGCTGCAAACCCACATACATGGACAGCAAGCCCTGTGTTTGGAAGTTAAAGTTAGTATGTTCATAGTCGGTTTCTCCTATCAATGCTTAAACATACTTGAGCCCACCTACGTAAGAGCTTCATGTCCTGTTGTGCAAGACTGGGCCCATTGGATGTGTCTGCCTTACGTGAAGTTCTTTGTTTAATGCTTTATGTTAGAATCATAAAATCATTTGAGTTGGAAGGAACATTTAAAGGCCATCTGGTCCAACTCCCCTGCAACGAACAGGGATGCTGACAGCTCCATCAGGTGCTCAGAGCCCCATCCAGCCTGACCTTGGGTGTCTTCAGGGATGGGGCATCCACCACCACTCTGGGCAGCCTGTGCCAGTGCCTCATCACCCTTACTGTAAAAAACTTCTTCCTTTCTATCCAATCGAAATCTCTCTTTTAGTTTAAAACCATTTCTCCTTGTTTATTAAGCCAATCTAGTAGATTGGCTTAAAGACCCTGCACTCACCTAGTGCGGGTCTTTACCAACCATGGTGCCATGGCTGCTTTGGCATCTCACCTTTCAGTTGATTTTCTTTCTGCTTTTCATTCTGTTTCTATAATCAGAAGACAAACAATGAGGGATTGAATTAGATTCATCTGGATGATTCCAGCTCTGCTGAATCTGAAATTACCATGCAAAATTCCTTCTGCTGTCCAGTGCTTAATCACCAAGGGATTAGGTGGAGGCGAAAGTCGAGATGTGTGGCACGCTGCTATTCTTTAAATATCTGCCATTATAACATGAGCTCTGGTGGTAGCATTAAGGCTATTGCTAATCTCCAGCTATTACCCGCCTTGCTGGGTTTGGTGTGATTGATTCTGGGTAGGTGTTAAAGCAATATTTACCTTTTTTGAGCAGTTCATCAGCCAGACCTGGAGCCCTATATGTTTCTGGGGATTTCAACTCCTCTTACTTCTACCCAAAAACTATCAGAGGAAACTGCTGTCAAGGATTTCAAGCTCCTTCCCTCTGGATCTCCTGATAATTGTGATGGCTGTGGGGACCCAGAGCTCCTTCTCTGAAGGCAGCTGACTGTTCCAACCATTTTCAGGCCAGATGGGAGCTACAAGTGCCAGGATTTGCTTCCACTGCAAACATCTATTGAGCCCCACAATTTTTGCTACCAGATGCTGGGGCTCAGGTTGTTGCAGGCATCAGTCTCATCCATCAGTGCTCCTTTCCACTGCATTCCCAGCCTGGGCTGCTTGAGAAATGCCATCTGTGGACAAGAGAATTGCTTTGATAGGCAGAGCCAGTATTTAATGTACTACCAAAGTAAATAGGCAAGGGGCTTTGCCAGTCATCTGGATTACAGAATCTGAAGGTGGAAAAGAGCAGGTCAGATTTTATAGTGTGTTCCACTGCTAAAGGAAGCTTGTTCTCTGCAGTATCTTCCTGGCCTGTTTTCAAGACCTTGGAGGGTGAGGAGAGATGAGATGGTGATATTTGCCATGCCCTTGAGAGTTTCTTTGTCTGGTTTGAATGATGTAATACGGAACAACTGCAAGTTCAGAAAATGTAGTTACATCACAATATATAATGGAGTTTTTGCATGGTTTTTCCTCTCCAACATACTTGCTATGCCTGCTGCTGTGCCAGTAAAAGCAGATAGATGCAAAAGAAAAACCAGTTACAATACTCCATCAGTGTGAAAGAAAAAATAGTTGCAATATTCCATCACTGTGTCATTGCTCTTCTTCCCCTTAGCAAGAGTTTGTTTTAGTTGCTTTCCTCTCCTCTGAAGAAAAATGAATAGTGAGAGCCGTGATGACCAGCAGTGAGGCTGGGAACAGCAGATGTAAGCTGTACAGCTGTACTAAGACAAAAGCACACTTTCCTACCTACAGCTGTATTAAAGTTGCTCTGGAGATAGCCACAGTGCCTACATGTGACTTAGCATATGGACAGCCAAGGCATCAGGCACATTTATGCATATAAGAACACTTGGTGTCTTCTTTAAGTCAGAGAGAGCAACGATTAAACAATAAAAAAGACATTTGGCTGTGTGATCTTCCTCTCAGCTAGCAGAAGGACTGAGTGAGAAAACAGAAAAAAAATAAATAGAGGGGAAGAGCTTACGAATTAAACCAGCACATTTTCATTTCATCGACTGTTGTCTACCAGTCTTTTACACGGGAATCTAAAAAGGACTTCATTTTGCCTCCAAGGCTGCAGTTGCTATGCTAGACACTAAAGTTAGATGCTTCAGATAAGGTATTAATACAAAGGCTTCTTGCACAGAATGGGTAAAACCTGCTAAATAGGGAAAATGTAAAAGCACAGTTTTTCTCTGTGGTGCTTTATGTTAGTTTTGCACTGCAGTGCTTGGTCACGCTGAGATGTGCCATCAAACAAAGCGAGGGAGGTGGGATGGTGGTGTCTTAACTACACCTACTGAAAAGAAACAACAGAATTTCCTCTGCTCCATCGCCCGTGTGTGCTTATTTCCAGCTGCACCTACCAGAGCATAGCTCTCTCATGGATGCATGCACAGGAAACAGTACCTGTTTCAGCGCCCACATCAGGACTCACTGACAGGAGATGTAACGGAATTTACTTAGTGTTGGTGGTCCAAAACATCAGACTTTCGCAGAGAGAGGTGGAAAGAGTAAGAAAAGCTGTGTATTTCTACACAGCAGAAAATAACTTGCTTGTTTATTTTCTTTGTTTCAGGAAAACAAAAAAGCCAGCAATTAACCATGAAGAATACCAGTGTATCTAAATGGAAATCAATGATTTAGGCCAGCATTACAACAGCTGTAAAAAAAAAAAAAGCAAAACAAAACAAAGCATTTTAATTCAATCAGGACAGTAAATAATAATATAGTAAAACTGATGTTTCCTCACTGTGACTTCCAGTTTTGCTGAAACTGCTTTTTTTTTTTTTTTTTTATGTTGCTGAGCAAGAGGATGAGGAGGAAACCCAGCAGTGATTTCTGCTATGT